GGCCGATTATGTGAAGCAGAACTATTGTGCTAATTATCATGGGGTGGGGACTTGTTCCATGATGAAGAGGGAGCTTGGTGGTGTTGTTGATCCGGAGGCTAAGGTGTATGATGTCAAGGGGCTGAGGGTGGTGGATGGATCGATTCCGCCGACGCAGTTGTCGTCGCATGTTATGACGATTTTTTATGCCATGGCTGTGAAGATTGCGGAGTCGGTTATAAAGGATGCTGGGAAGACTTAGGGAGGAGTGATCGGAGATGATTGAAGACTGGAGTGGCTAGGATTATCAACTGTATTCAGCACAAAAATGACGAGGACCGAACAATCAAATTCGGGATGAAACCTTTTCTTGTGTTAATGCTTTTAGAAGGTGGAAGGATAAGCTATATAGGCTTCATAATCTCATTTAATAGTCGACAAGAGATAAACAAGGGGGTTTAGAAGTCTTGTAGATGGAAAATCGTCGCGACGATTAGATTCCTCAACCCTTGTATAATCACATGTGGCTGCCCCTCGAGCCAGTAGATATAAGTTGGCAACATCCGCCAGCCAAGCTGTTTGACGACGGGAATTAAAGACATACAAAAAAGTAGCCAGGGCCATTCCGTCCTGATTGCGGATTACACCTCACCTTGGCTGCACCTCCCAAAGGTTTATAAGAAGTACCGTGTCTGCTGTTTTGCTACGAGTCTGTAGGCTTCAACCTCGAGTATAGTTGGGAAGTCAAAGCTCAATGAAGAATATGAATCAACGAACACCTGAATGTCCAAGACCATGTTGACATGATGATCGATGCCTGATCTAGTCACCCAGCATGAGAAGATGCCTGAACAACGCTCCATAGCCGGTTCCGAACATACCCAAGCAGATGCTGAAAGAGTCGCGATAATCTCTCAAGAAGTGCCGAAAGAACAGCATTGAGGGCTTGCAGTCAGTGACAATGAGAAGGGCCTCATGGAAGAACTCAACGTCATGGACCCAAAGCACCCATACACAACAAAGGTACATACAAGATCCAAAGACTCAGGAGAATGGCAGAATAGGGGATGTAAAAGTTTCATTATAGTAGTACTACGAGCAAGAGACCTACGACATGTCCAAAACATATGCACCACAAGCACTATCTTCATCATTGACACAGTTAATTTGCATCCAATGGGCTCTCTTTTGCATAGGTTTGTCGAGGTTTAATGAGTTTTCTTCTTCGAAAAAAAGACGAAGAGAGGAAGGAATGTTGCCTGACTATAACCCCGACCAACAACCACTGTGGTTGTTCTGCGCATACATGCATTGGGTTGCGTTTGAAGTTGTCATCGAAGGATACCGATGGACGTTACTTTCATCTCACAAGCTTCTCGACTATCTTCATCAAATGAAGGATGAAGCTATACAGCAAGTGAACTATTGCAAACCTGTACTACGAACATCTCCGCGCTTGCGAACAGATAATTTCTCGATTTATATAGAACATGTGTCAGGAAAATATTTATTGGCTGATCAAAAGCAAAATGCGCTTAGGCTACAGCGTGGTAGATCCCCGTTTCTTGTTCCCAAGGCTTTGTGATGCCTGGAGTTCGGAATGAGGTCGCTGGTGGTTCGTTGCCTGGAAGCAGCATATTGGATTTTCTGTTAGCTCGGTCCCATCATGTTTACAGTACAGGAGTGGGCAGGGTTGAAAATGAATGTGCGATTGTGGAATGGCGGTTGCGGAACCTTGCACGGGAGTGAGAGGACCTGATCATTGACGTACACTGACTGGATAGAAAAGACACAGAGAACATTACCAGGTATTCATGAAGGCTTCTTTAAGCTATAGAACCATGATGTCCCCGCAGCAGCTGATCTTCTCATAATTTACCGTGTCGAGGTAATTGGAACAATAAGCCACCAGGCTACAACGTACTCAGAAAGCTCAATATCCCTGCAGTATGTCTATCGTTTGTTGGAACAATATACCCAGGCTTTGGCTTCAGCATGCAAATGTCTTTAGATCCAATGCAATGCGAACATGCCCCAACCAAAATATAGTACTAGAGATCAACGAAGTTATGATGCTTCTGAGTCTGATTAAGAGCCTACTAGATAGCCGATCTCGATGTCATTGGCAGGGCTGTACTCCATAAACATTTCAGCCGAAAGCAGGAACCAAAGAGACATGTGCGGACAGTTCACAAATCCAAAACAGGATTCAAAAGACTCGTGATTGACATTTTGAAAGGTCTATATAGAAGACATCATTCGATGCAACTGGAGACATGGACTCAAGTTCCAAGGTCAACAGAGAATATGCTGGGTGGGTGAAATCAGAGCCCCCATACAGGCTTGTTGTCTGGTGGCTGCATTCGAGCAGAGCTCTTGGAATCACCCTCGCCAAGTGGATTACACCTGCGTGCTACTATTTTAAGATCCACGGAAATACATATATCTTGTTGAATTGGAGATGGGGATGCAGAACCACGGCTGTGACAATGGTTCTGTCCTGACTTTACCCGGAAAGCTTTGCTCTGACGACCGGTATCCCTTATTCCTTCCAGCTCAATGGACGAGAGGGTGGAGTATACATAATGAGAGAAAGTTCTTCCCCAAACTAACCTACTTTTGGGGCGGGGGCTATTCTCGATGGTATCGCGTCACTCAGATGTTGGGTAGCCGAACATGACTGGGTCCTCTGTTGGAGGGATGTAAGAAGGACATCATCATGCCAGGAATCCCAGCGATCATGTGTGGATCTTGCATGATATGTTGTATTATTCTCATTGAGAAGAAAGCCAAAGGAAGTTTTGGGTGTGGGGTAAAATGGAAATGAAGGCGGCCTATTGCGTTTCTTCCTTTTATGAGCAACGTTTCGCAGACTTTGTCACCACAGGTATAGGAGACGAAAAAAGGCGATTGTTGGAAACACAACCTAAGCAGCAGAATAGGTCAAACATGGATATCGGAAGGGTCTGCAACTGGAAGAAACCAAGCAATGCTACAAGGGGCTGGTGTTCCTTTCCAGAACAGGACCTCCCCAACTTACTAATATTGACTTAGTGGGGCATGTGGGGGTCACACCTATTTTCCCTCCCGCACCGGACTATAATTTTAATTTGTGCTTCACTCCGGACCGCCACATCTGATCACCCGCACAGACTTGGACCCACAGAATAGCACCATGCTTGCTTAGAAGCATGCGATAATGCTGGCTCCAGGTGTGCAGCATGCATCTGCCGACTGGCTGGGGTAGCAATTGATGGCGAATTTACATCATTTCTCACATCAATCACCAGCCTTATTGGACTAGCTCGCATACTCACCCTTAGCACAAGCTTCATGTCTCCTGTGGGCTGCAAGCAGATACTCAAGTTAACCAGTATCAGTGTGTTCCTCGAAAAATATGTCATATGAAGTTTTGCTACAGCGATTTGTCAATTTTCGCTGTCCTCTATGTTCCTGACGCCAGACGGTGTCCCTATAGCCACAATTAGATAGTCATAAATTGGTTGTGTATATCTGCTGCACCGCAGATGGCCAGCCACAGTACACAAACGAGACTTCCCAACGTGTTGATGTTGTGACAATCCCATAATACGTTAGTGCTTGCTGTGTGGGCCTCAGCAAGGCCAGAAATCACCAAAACTCCCACCATACTGTAAACGTTTAGTCGCCTACTCGCACCTATGGTCTTCATAATTGTGCATCAGAGTTACGTAAGGTATACAGAGCATAATGGTATTTAGCCTGAGGCAGGAACAGCTGCAGCGCAGCGGAAATTGTGCTGCCTACCACTGCAACTCCCACACACAGTAAGAATTTAGATAATCAAATACTTACTACTATGTTCATGAATAAGTCCCAAGCAGCTTGAAGCGTAAGAATATCTGCGTATCATTCATCGGAGGGAGAGCAGACTCTTGTTTGACCGATACGCCGCAATTCGGCAGAATTTCCTGGGTTAGTTGCAGGGCCCACGAGTAGCATCATATCGACTGTGTCATATCCACAACATGTAAGACCATGAGGTTACAGTTTTTTGTCTGTTCACGGGTTATGGGATTGGTTCTAGACTTGGTCGGCGTTCAGGATCAACACCCGCACAACGTGTAAAGAATCGATCCAGGAAAGCGAATCATCAACAAAGGCGAGCAATACCTTGATCACTCGCCCGTCTGCGGACCCATGGTTCCTAGTAATTATGCTCTCAGGTACACCGGTCCCAGGTCCCGCCAGATCATACGTATTTCAGCCCTTACCAGTAAGAGTAACGACAATCGGGGATCTCTCACTAGCGAAGCGGTAGGCTCCTTTTGCTCAAAAGGATTGCCTACCCTGCACAACCGTCCTCTTATATTCGCTGCACCCTCAAGGAAGCGCCCACTTCAGTGTAAGCCTGCGCCTCGCGCCAGGGGACATTTCATGCGCAGGCTTACGCCACCCCAGTCAAAAAATTTGCCATGGTGATTTGCAGGACAGTTTACTACGATGGTTTCAAGGTCCTTGTCAGCGGGTGCCTTATCCACCTCCAATACTTGCACCTAAACTTACCTGTCACGTCCGAGGAATCGGTTCTTGTCTTCTTCCTGATATTTCCTGTATAGGCAGTAGATATATTCAAGTTGATTCTATAACAACATAATTTCCCTCTATTATTGGGGTGACAATAAATCGTAAAAAGCATTTAGATTCCTAAGAGTACTATTATGAATTTAGAGTCAGCATCGTCACTTACTTGGTCCGAGCAAGTCGCTTGACTGGTGAATCAGTTGCGACACGTTATTATAGTTAATCGAGTTGTTTTTTAGATGTTCAGTGTCTTTTCTGTACGTATCTGTTATGGTAAGGTCGTCCGTTAGCCTGGGGCAGTACTTAATTGCGGGCGGTGTGTAAATATCCCATCAAGATCGGGAAGGTGTGGAGCCGGACACTCGGTTTCGTAGGTTTTCGAGTCCGCCATCAGATTCTGGCTTCGGTGGCTTGGGGTTTTTTCAGTCGGTTGTCAGTCGAATCCATCCGTTGGAAACTGGAACAGGAAACTGGAACACAGTATATAGATCCTCTGAATTTCCCCTGCTAACATCTTGCACTGCTAAGCAGATAGTAGAGTTTCTATTCCCACGACAGTCTTGTTCAAGTATTTCCCAGCTCTCCTTTACTTCCGTCTGTTACTTCCATCAAGCCTTTAGCGATTCTTTTCTACAAGCCTTGTTCATTTCCGGGTTTACTCTACTTACTTAATACGACAACCTCTTTCCAAATGCAGAACGTCCCGGTCGACAATTCGAGTCCCAGCGGGAATGCTGGTTATGTCAGCCATACTGCTACTACCGTACCAGCCACACATCAGATTCAACCTGCAACAAGCCTTGGTCAACAACCAGGTAACAATGCGTACTTCAGCTCAGTACAAGTAGTAGACCCAGCAGCGGCATTCCCATTCAACATCGACCCAGTCAACCAAAATCTTACTGGCTATCCGACCGCTATGGCCCCGCCCCCTGCCATTAACAACTTCGACCCCAGTCAGCTTGCTCTTCCATTAGATGCGTACCAGCCACGAGTGGAGTTTCCAGAACACTTCTTTGTGAACCATCAACCCATGGCTCCCCTGCCGGAAGCTGCTGCGGGCCTATCCGCTCTGGCCCATGGCACAGACAGAAATCTCAGGCAACAGCCTCCGAGTATGACGTAAGTACGGAAACTCAAGTACTTAACATAGTAGTTGATACTTTTCTACAATGATCCAATTCTAATGATGAAAGATGCGATACAGACCCCGAGATGCACCACTTCTCTGCAAATGGGAAGGCTGTACGCATGTAGGAACCTTTAGCCGGAAAGAAGAGTTGTTTCGACATGTCAAAAACATCCATATCACTCCTCGGTCTTTCCCTTGCGAACTTTGCCATCGGCGATTCAACCAAGCGTACAATAGGACAGCCCATATGCGCAGTCGGCATTGGGTGGAATGGCCTTCGGGAATGTATCGTGCGTGAAGCTGAAGGATTGGCTCGTACCTGATGTCTTTCTTTCTTTTCGGGATTTTTTTTTTTTTTTTTTTTTTTCCTTTCCCGGTTCCCTTTTTTTTTTTTTTTTTTTTTTTTTTTTCTTAATTACATTTCGGGACTAGAGCATTTTAGATCATGTATAAATAATAAGGAGCACCGTTCCTAGTACTGCGCTAGCTGTGAACCGCGATCGGTGCCTTGCATATAAGGTCGCCATCTGGGGATGTGGGTATTGTTAGCACTTAGCACATAATGGAGACATGAGTTTTGACTGTTAGTGTGACCAAAGAAAGAAAAAAAAAGTAGAAAAAGTAGGAAAAAGAGAAAAACAAGAAAAAGAGAAAAAATAAAGATAGAAAAGATACAAAAAAAAAAAAAAAAAAAAAAACCCCTCTTGGGAAGAAAAACATTGAGATCACCCAGAGTCTTGCTTCCACCTTCATGCGCCCGTGACAAACCGAACGCCAAGTAAAGGTGAAGATATCTTCTCCGCGACATACTCTACGTAATGAGAGAACATCGCTGGGCTGGAACCGTTCAAGAGGTTAAGCCCCTAGGCCATCTTCAGTCCATCCAGATCCAGAACTCAACAGCAAATCTAGGTCTGATCGGAAAGTGCACGGGGTGAACCATCCGGCTTGGTGACCAGTCTAGGTCTAAGCCGGGTAATTGGTTTTGGGGGTGAGATGGAGGGAAGAAGGGCTGAGGCCCAACACCGCACTCCAATCTGGCGCGACGTGTTGGATTTGACATGCAGGTAATCCGGATAATTGTTGTTTTTTTCCTAATACGGATTTCAACTGTCAATTTCCAGACCACTCGTCGTCGTGCGTGAGGAAGATGATCCTGGTACGTGCATAATAGTGGGCCTCCTATCAGCCAATATTTATCTCCCATTCCAACTGTACACGTAGTGTCGCGCCCCAAAGAGCGAGTCATAGGTGTTAAAGAGGGTAGATTGACCGGCGGGCGTCGAGTATAAGGCAAAAGGACGAGAACGAGGTCCCGAAGTGTGGCAGGAGTGTTCCCACTGAATCAAACGGTGGGCCTATCATGGCGGGACTTATGTCAAGTAATTCGGGTGCCGGGGCGTTAGCTAGCCCAGTAGTTATGGGTACCTAACGAGCGGTGAGAGCGCAGGTACAAACTGCGTACAATAATCATTCTCACAGTCTCACTCTTATTTCCATTGTCGTCCTTCCCTTTTTTCCCGGCTTCCCTGTTTCCATTTTGTCTTTATTTTTTTATTTTATTTTTTTTCCTATTCTTATTTTCCCCCTTTTTCCAATTTTTTTTTCCATTTTTATTTCCATTTTTGTTTTTTCCAACTTTTTTTTTTTTTTTTTTTTTTTTTTTTTTTTTTTTTTTTTTTTTTTTTTCTTTTTTTTTTTTTTTTTTTTTTTTTTTTTTTTTTTTTTTTTTTTTTTTTTTTTTTTTTTTTTTTTTTTTTTTTTTTTTCAATTTTATTTTTCCAATTTTCTTTTTTCGATTTTTAGTTTTTCGATTTTATTTTTTTCTATACCATTTTAAATGGAAGATGCTGCTGAGGCCCTGCTTAGAATCTACTGTATGCGGATAATGTTGGATCTGGGCAACAGGTTACTTACTACGACTGCTATAGAAGACGCCCAGGCAAGTGCCAGGGGGTCACTAGTAGGAGTAGTAGGAGTAGTAGGAGGAGTAGGAGGAGTAGTAGGAGTAGTAGGAGTAGAAGGAGTAGTAGGAGTAGTAGGAGTAGTAGGAGTAGTAGGAGTAGTAGGAGTAGTAGGAGTAGTAGGAGTAGTAGGAGTAGTAGGAGTAGTAGGGAGGAGTAGGGAGGAGTAGGGAGGAGTAGTAGTTTGGATTACCAGATTTCAGCGCTGCCAGGGCGCTCTTGCAGGACCCTATTCCCACCCTGATTGTCCCTCGTAATCTTACAGTATCTCCATACCGCGGGTCTGCTCATCCTCGTGATTGGCCCCGGGCCCCTAACGGCATGACGAAGAAAATGAATACACCAACAACAAGAGATGAAGAACGAAGAACAGCTCAATAGATTTACGTCTTCACCGCTCAGGCGCGACGGGCTGAGCCCAAGGCGTAATGGCAGGCTTCGCCCTGGCTGCACACGATTTAGGGTTAGTTCTGGATTTCAACAGGCCTTCAAATCAACACATCAACTTCTGTAGTTGTGGTGGGATAGCAGTCACCAAGAAACTCCAATCCCTGGGCAGATTTCCATAAGAAAATGAAAAAAACTAACTGGCTGACCAGCGAAGATGACGTATCAAAAGGCAGCATTGATTAGATAACTGAAATGAACCCATGGTGCTGGCGCGATACGCATAGTACTTAAACCCAGGGATTTCCGAGTCTCAATCGTATCACACTTGTCTACCAAGTAGCGACTGGTCTATATCCAAAGTCTTTAATATGCCTGAGGCTCCTAACAACAGTCCCTTTTCAAGGGCGAGTCGAGGCTCATCGTTCGCTCCTTCAACAACCCATCCTCTCAGAGCACCGCTATTGACCGACGACGCTGACCTCAATATGGGTCACCAGGGCCATAATCCCTCTTATTTGATGGCACCTACAATCTTCTTCAATACCACAGCTCCAAATAGCAACCATGGGGATGTCCAAGTCCACACAGACCATCAGATCTTCTGGCCAAGCGATGGACCAGCAATGTACCTGGCGCCGCCGATGCCAGCAACAATTCCAGGTAGCATGCAGAGCAACACTCATAACCACCCCAATACAGACATTTATCAATTTCCCACCAACCTAGCACCGGAATCATATTTCGGGTCTTTCGATAACGTGGATCATGCGAGTGTGGGGGTGGGATCACCAAAACCGGGCCCGGGATCGATGCTGCAGATGCAGGGGGATATTTCTGAGCCAAGGTATGTTATAAGTCTTGAGATCGCCTCAGGACAGAGCCGACAAACCTCTAGACAAATTGGTTCATATTGTACGTGGCCGGGTTGCACATATACCCAGCCTTTCCGACGGCCAGGAGACCTGGCGAGACATAGGCGAACCATTCATGAAAACCCTCAAGCCTACCAGTGTCCAGAGTGTCGGCAGCGGTTCAACCGCAACGATAACATGCTTGAACATCGGCGGAGGGCTCATTGCTGTCTGAATCTGGCAACGAGGCGTCACTAAAGGCTCTATTTTCCTTGCTGTCAGTGGCTGGCCTTCCATGACATTTGGGGGTGGGACGTTAGAGTATATTTTTTTTTTCGTGATATGTTTTCTTATCCTTTTCCTTATTTTTTGTGAACTTTGTCTCAAATTTTTGCGGGAATACCCTGGTGTTGTATACCACAGGCGGCGTTGCTCATTGCATGATAGAGTGCACTGCAGCCCTTCCGTTTTGCGGGCCTCCGACGCACGTTTTAGTTCCTACTTGCATCTGATTTCTTATTCATCTTCTTGGCTGTGGTTTTATTGAGCGCAATCTGTGGCCATAATAGTCTCATACGTCATGCGGGATTGTATTACCCATCTCAATACTGGTTTCGGGTTTCTTTGTATCTGGTTCTTTCGATGCGTGCACGTCTTTCATTATGGGGTGGGGTTGTTATAGAGTTGTCTTCATCACATAATTGCTGTCATTTTAGAGATGCCGACGATTAGTTGGCACATTCAAAATATAAGGACATATATTCTGGAATCAAACATGAGCGCATTTGTAGCTAGAGGTCTCTGGCTGCGAAGGCAACTCATTGACAGTTGGGAATGGGAAAGAGAGAGGCTGGCGGGGTGAGATAGGAGAATTCTTTTTCCGTGACTTGGACGCTCTTGGGCACATGACCAGTACTGCATAGGCTTGTAGCCACAGCCTCATAATCGTGATCTCTGTGGCTCGGACAAGACAGCTACCACCTATTCTTCACCTTGCATACTTTTAGTTCCCAATAATTCTGACCTGGTCTACCGTGTTTTCAATCCGTGGATAAAATGATACTTCGGCTAACAGTACAGGAACTGCGGGTTGCCAATCACCCAATCATACAATAGAGCGGTCTTGAGGACGATTCATTAGCTGGGACGCATGTCACGTGTAGGATGACAAAGAGTTCACAGTTTCTTGTAATCTTTTGCTCTTCTCGTCCTTTTCTTTTCTTTTCTTTTCTTTTCTTTTCTTGGTTGGGTATTATGTGTTTTTAGGGGTTATTTCTCCTCAGATCAGTGCTAAAAAGCGGTTAGTATCAGTTAGCTACTCATGAGAAGTGGGTATCGCAGTTAGACAGGTCCTAGTTATCGGTGCCTTGCGCTGATGTCAGAGATAGGCCAACCACTGTAAACAATGACATTATATCATCACAAACTACGGATGTATAGCTGTAGATCTTATACCCATACAAACTACTGCAAGGGCATCCAACCAGCTCAGTCAAATATTTCGAAATAAACTTCATTTACACTTCCACCTGCTGGAACAGGTCATTGGCACGGCACGGCATATCGGGTAGAAATCTAATTGGTCTGCCCATGTTTCTGGGTGGCTTGAAAAGTACCGACGAAGAGCAAATGGAGGGACGTCCTAGCTCCGCACGGCGGTCCCATCGATGCGGGGTCATTAAGCAACTAATTGGGGCTGGAGTTCAGGGTCGATCAACGGACTGATGTGCAGCCAAGGCTTCGAAGGAATAGGTAAGCCTCTAGCATGAATATTGAACGAAGAGAAGACTCCAGAAATGCAAGTTCCTAACCAGTAGCTGTTGGAACCGTTGCATGGTCTAGCCCGCTATGTCCGTTGCGTCATGGCCATGGCTACATAAGACGGGATGAGCTACGCCACGTCGGAGCCGATGCCTGCGACATATTGTGCCTTGGGGGGAGCCGCCGTTCACCGTCAAAAGTGCTCAGGACCCTGGACTAGACCGAATTTGTATTTAGCTTTCGTATCCCCAGAAGATGGGGTGGGTGCCTTATGAAAACACTCGATTTAGCTGATCAGTGCTATGATGGCAACTAGATACTATAACATTTGAATGGCAGAAGAGCGACCATTGAATCACAGCCAAATGACCAAATGCCAATCCAAACAAATTAGATGGTCCAAAAGGTGCGAATAAATGGGTTGTAGGTTAACTTCCTTTCTGATGTCTCCGTACACAAAGATACGCCGAACCATGTCGGCCAGGGTGTCAAACCTTGAACACTCTTCTTCCCATCCATCACTGCAGCCGCTGGTAGTTGGGTATCATTTCTGAACCGTGGCGGTGCTTCTTCGGCCATGAAAGTTGCGTGGACCCGTGAGCCTCAGATGCAGCTTCCTTCGGTGCCCTGGCTACTGAGAGGGCCAGGGTGCCACTTCATAGGCCGTTCAGGTTACACCACCCACCTTTCCTTCGACTTGAGACAGCCCGCATCAACGTACACAATTCCCACTACTGAGCCCCGAGCAATGATTGGCTACTGCGGAGGTGGAAGAGAGGCCTGGAGTGGGAGGGGGTACCTTTTCCACCCACACTGGCCGAAGAAACCTCAGCTTCGGTCAGAGCAAGAACGTGAGGAGCTGATATCTGCCCTCTGTTGCTTCCAGCTTCTAGTCATTTATTTCGTTCCAACCACCCGAGTTGACCTTCTATCTCCAAGGCCCCTCCGACTCGTATCATAACCCCCCGAGAAGCCTACGAAGGCGTGTCGCGTCCATCATGGAGCGACTTCTCTTTCCTTGGCCCACCAGCCTCACTGACAGCCCCACGCTCACTGATATCTCCGATTTTGGTTATCCTGATGAGACCGATCGCTATCAGAATACCACTGCGCAACCCGTCGCTGCTTCTGCAGGTCCGATGAGCTATGATGCCGATATCTCAATGCTCCAGGATAGTGTCAACCTGCCTAGCTCTCAGGTAGCATCATACCAGCCAGCTATGGCAGGAAACAATGCTTCTTTCTTGCAGAACCCCGTTGGCCAGTATCCCTATCCTGAACCCAGCAACTACCAGCATAATGCCTGGGTCAATCAGCAGCAGCCGCAATTGTCCAATGTTGCATTCCAAACAGTTGCGCAGTTGGGGATGCAGAATACTGGGTTCGCCAACTACCAGATCAACACCCCGGTCAACCAGCAGCAGCCGGAATTGTTTGGTGGCGTCTTTGAATCCGTTTTGCAGATGGGTATGCACAACCACGTGGATGAACTGACTGATGGCATTATTGGGTCTGTTAATGATGACATGATCGAACCAAGGTATGTCACTCGAAATCGACAGGCTCATGGCGCCCCTTATACATGACCTGACTGCATGTTAGCGAGATTGACCTGCGATGTCATTGGCCGGGCTGCACGAGGGAGGACCCTTTCGGGAGGGTACAAGAACTCTATCGACACATTACAACCCTTCATATCCATCCAGGGAGGTATCAGTGTCCGCATTGCCTGAGGCGGTTCAACCGAAAGGATAACATGTCTAAACATGTAGAGCGGAGAAACCTGGGTGTTTGTGTTTCAGAAAAGGTAAAGTAGTTCAACCATACTGCGGTTTCAAATAGGAAGTTGGTTATCTCTCAAGAACACTCTTGCTTTCTCACCCGATCATACTCCTCTGCAGCTCTTTCTTGCCCATGTTTCTGCTAGGGGAGGTGACCCTGTTATCAATACCGGTCGGGTTATACCCAGTGTTCGAACTTCCTCGCTGTTGGATGGTTATCGTTGCATAATAGTCAGCTAACATGTTTCTGCAGAAGAGGAAGAGCAACAGAGTGCGGCGAAATCGTGGGAATACAATCCGTGGTGAAGACAAAGGAAAGGGGCATAGTGCCATATTATCCTGAACGAGCTGGGTTGCACGAGGCATAAGAAAGCCATTTTTGGTGAGATGTGTCACACGAAGTAGCACAATCCAGCGGGGTTAGACACCAAATATCTTCCGTTGCAACTTTCGGAGGATATATGCCACATTCGCACATGAGCCACAGAATTTTCTTATGTCTCAGGGTTTCCTTTTTCTCTTTTACTGTTCCCCGACAACAAGTTGCTTAATTAGGTTGTTCTTGCCTTCTTGATTGTCATTGACTGGAACAGGGAGTTGAATATGAAATTGATCGTTCATCTTGATTGATACTGAATTTTTCCTTTGAGTCATATCGGCGTTTGTTTGCAATTTAACGCGGTGTTCAAATGTCTTCTTGCCTGGGAGGCGCTTCGAGGATATCTGCTCTTGAATAGTCAAATTTTCTCGATCGACAGACATTCAAACTTGTCCAGAAAACATTAGTTGAGAGGATCTGTACCATCAGATTGTGCCACTGCTGATTTTTGTGCCATTAGGCAAGATACAATCGTGAAACCCCCATGACCATCCGCGAGCGAGCCGTTTCTAGCACAGCGCGAAGCCATACATAGCGGACCGTGGGAATGTGGTGCCCATGTGGTTGAATAAGGAAGCCGTCTTCCCAACACTGGTCCTTGTCACCGTGTAGGGCTGAGATTTACTGCACATTAGGGTTAATAATTGGTTGAATGTGCATGGGGCGAGATGGTTAGTTCTCACACACACAAGTCCTTACCTCGATAACGCTGTCATCATGGAGTACATGAGTGTAAGGAGTAGGAGGGCTAACACGTCCAAAAACGTGCTGGATAACAGAGAGCCCCCAAACGCTTCTTGATCATGGCATGGGAACCCCAGTCTCGTAGACTAAGGCAGGTCCCTTCTTCTCTTTCTCTTCCCAGCCCCCTCTTTCACTATCTATTTCGCCTCCTTAGCGCGACAGTGATTCAATAGGAAACATCCTAATCATCATTACACATAACATCCCCCATCGATTAACAAGATAAGAAACATGCCCCTTAGACACCGTCCCGTCCCCAAGCCTGATTATCAGCATGACACAAAGTGGACCGCGCTAAAACTCCTTCACGGTCTCGACCGAGCCAAACTCCCGAGCCGAACCAACAAGACAGATAAGCCTCTCTTAGGGTACACGGCAAGCTTCCCTTGCCCTGATTGACACGGAGGTGCCACATGGGGCTTAGTTTCCGCGAATGTGAGGTCTGAGCGGACATTGGCTTTCGTCTAAGCGAGCTTACTATTGAGATAAGCATTGGGCATCGGGGAAGTCGATAGGGTTCGTCACGGTTGTAGCCGAAGGCTCTGGGTCTCGGTTACAATTGGTTTCTGTGGTATGTCTCATGGAGGGGGATATGCAAGGTACGATTGTCTGTGCGTTGATGTCTTTTACGGAAGAACCGAGGGAGGAGCATGGATGGTGGACAGATGAGGATGGATTCGTAGGCAGATGGCTGGTCAGCTGCTACAGTCGGTTATATCTCTATATTCTCTGTATAACCACGCTTTACCTTGCCTATTCGGTTGTGTCTAGCTACGGCAAAACGAGATCCCTGTGTCGCCGCAAGCGTTGTTTGGTGGGTCTAGGCGAAATTGAGGGACCGCAGGCGTTCCGTGACATTCTCGTTGCTCTAAAAGGTGAAGCACCTACATAGGTAGCATCTTACTTAGCGGGCTAGAGCCGGTATCGGGATACAAATCACAAGGGATTGAAATGATGAGTCTAATAAACGGTGATGTAGAGGATAGTAGGGGAATAAAATCATAAACACATTTTCAGCTATAGATACAGTTACGTCCCTAGAAGACCCGACCTTTTCATACAGCAACTGAAGAAGTGAAATATTTACACAATTCAAAGCATGAGAATACCCTACTCAAGGTACTCGTTGGGCATGTACAGAGGCATCGAATCCTCCCAGATAGTATCCGTCACAAGGGTCTTGTTGGTACCATCGTAGTTCATGACCATGATCTGGCCGTACGGTTGGAAGGTGTCGTCGAAGAGAGCACTCTCATCCTTGAAGCCGTACATACCGGTGCTCCACATGATGCGGCCGTCTTGGGACCACACAGCGCTGTATATTATATTAGCTTGTATTGAGTGATGAGAGAAAGGAGGTAAACATACTGAGCATCGTTAGACAGACTGTCAGTGACGCGGGTCAACTCGGATCCGTCAGGGCGGATGGTGTAGATATCGAAGCGATCGGCATACCAGCGAGCGCCGTAGGACTCGGTCCAGTTGTTGTTGCGGGTGAAGACAATGCGCTCGCCGTCGGGGGACCAGCCGGGGGTGTTGTCCCAGCCGTCAGTGAGCTGGTGGGTCTTGCCGGTGGTGAAGTTCAGGATGTGCAGACCCAAGGGGGCCTCAGTAGCAAGGCTCCACTTGCGGTAGACGATGGCAGTTCCATCGGGAGACCAGGAGGGGAAACCAGAGTTGTCGGATCCATCAGTCAAATTGGTGTGCCAGGTACCGTTGGCGAAGGTACGGTAGATCTTGGCGGTGTTTGTGCTGCGGCTGACGAACCAGGCACCAAAGCCAGACACCAGCTCCGTGCCGTCGGGGTTCCAGGAGGGCTGGAAGGCACCAGAGTTACCTTCCAGGAGCCACTCGACCTCGGTGGAGTTGCTGATGTTGTAGATGTCGTAGGAGTCGAGAGCATCAACAACGTCGGTGTACAGAGGGGAAGAGTGGACCAGAGAGCCGTTGGCGCTGCCAAGGACCTTCTGGGTGGACGCAATACGGTTCACGACGGTGTTGTGCATGGGGAAAACATCCATGTAGCGGTATTCCCATTCGTTGTCGTAGCTCCAGAGCTCCAGGTCGGCAGCCTGCTGAGTCCAGTTGGGGATCCAGTAGACCAGCTTGGAGCCGTCAGGGGACCACCAGGGATCGCGAAGGTTGGTCAGGTTGAAGTTCTGGTGGCTGAAGTCAGGTTTGGTGTAGTGAATACCCTCGTCTCCGGCCTTGACCAAGTAGCCAATGTTGGTCGAGTTGCCAATGTAGTGCTGGCCGACCTTAGGGTAGCTACCGGAGGTGTGAGCAACGACGTTGGAGCCAGTAGCAAAGTCTACGCTGTAGATCTGTGCGGTGACAGCCTCCTGCTGAGCAGAAACACCATGGCAGCCGTAGGTGTTCTCAGTAGTCATGTTGTTGTAGATGATGCGCTTGCCATCGGGCGAGAACTGGGGGGTACCCAGCGAGTAGCCATCCTGGCGGATAACGGTGCGGAAGTCACTGCCATCAGGGCGGACGGCGTACACACCCAGAGTCTGGGTGTGCTCCCAGCCGGTACCATCGCTGTGGCCGGTCCAGTCGGTGTTGCGGTCGGAACTGAAGACAATCCACTCTCCGTCGGGAGACCAGGAGGGACGGAAGTGACCAGTGGGCCAGGTGTTGTCGGCTCTGTTAGCCTCGGTATCGGTCAAGTTCTGGGCCTTTCCAGAGGTGAGGTCCTTGACCCAGATGTTGGTGGTGTAGTTGCCCTGAGTAGAAACGTAGGCCAGCTTGTTTCCATTGGGAGACAGAACACCGATGTCTTCAACAGAGTCCGTGGCCGCAAGTGTCTCCAGTCCCGAACCATCCACGCGAACACGGTACAAGTCCGACTGACCCGGACCGCGGCGCTCGCTGGTGAAGACAATCCACTCTCCATCAGGAGACCATGTAGGGTGGTAGTCGAAAGCATTGGTCTGGTTGCCCATGAGCTGAGTCGCGTTGGTACCGTCGGCATTCGAGATCCATAACTGTCCTCCGGAAGGTCCAATGCGGTTCACTTGAGTCCGTAAGTACGTGAATCACTAGGGTCAATCAGGCAGCCACTTACTGTAAAAGATACCCTTCTTGCCCTCAATCGGGCCCCGACGGGCCAGCCTGGGGGTTTCTTTCGTAGAAGCAGCAGCGGCGCGCTTAGCATAGGGACAGCCCGCAGGAGCAGCAGCAGCAGCAGCAGCAGCAGCGTCATTGGCGCGCTCCGCGTACGGGCAGCCAGCAGCGGCCGAGCCGGCCACTAGGCCAGCCAAAGCAAAAGCAGCAGAAATACGCATGTCGCCTACCCAGTCAAAGCTGGAAAAAGATGATAGTAGATGCGACTTGGCGAGAGACTGTTGTGAGAGACAATGTTCTTGTAGGACCTGAGAGGGAGGGATCTGCACCTTTAAGTATTGCTAGAACGGCGGGGGAACCATTCTTCATCTCGGCTACTTGGACCGTGACAAACTCGGGGGTAGGCAGAATAACAAGCAAAGCTTGCCAAGCCTCACCCTTCTCCAAGGTGTGGATTGACTGGACCCATCAGATAGGCGTAATTCGAATTCTAATCTATCCAAGTGGATCGAATCAACTTATCAATCAATAATAGGATCCGTTGGAGAGCACGCGGAAGAGGTCTATTCCAGTCCTGCAAATCTTGCAGAATTGGGTCAGCACTTGCTGGTAGTCGGGATCGCGGTATAGGTATGATCATATCGAGGCCCAATCAGCCCTGATCTATTGGAGTCGTATGCACTATCTATGAGACAGATCACTCGCTATACCGCATGACATGACCCAAGGGCAGTGACAGGGAGTACTGAGAGACTCCCACGGGTCACCAGAACCCCTCTCCCACGCGAGATGAGCAGGTAACGATCAGCAAAACTTTCATCAGCACCGTGGTGCGGTTGTCGGACCCTCCTTCCCTGTTTTTGCTATTGTAGATGACGATCAATTATCTCCGGCTTGGCACGGCACGCCAGGCCCGTCTGTAGGACGTCGGCGTCTTGGCCGTTGGCTTGGCCCGTCCTCTAGCGACCCAAAAAGTAATCAATGCCGACCACGACCATTGGACGCCAGTATCGCCGAATTAGTCTCTCGGATCTCACACAACTGCTGCCTCATCCCGTCTCGTCCCTCGCAGGCTGCAGGATATCTAGCATCATCCTTTGTGCCAGCATAGGGCGGTGTTATCTATAGAAACTCCAATCGGACAACGGCTTCGTAAATGTCTGACCGCCAAATGGACCGGAGCCCTCACAATCAGCCCCACAGCCCCTTCCTGGTGCGTTCCAAAGGGATGTCGGAGCGTGTCCGCAGGAACGTTCCGACCTCCGACCGCCGTCGTATTACGTGCTGTGACCCTCTCTCCCACTGTCTTCCCGCCAGTCACAGGCGGGGTATGGGGTATCTTTTTTCGGTGTGCACAAATCAAGACCCTCAATTTGTGCACCTTCGAATTGTCCAGACTTCTTCATCGCTTCATGGTAGCGGGAGATGACCCATTCAACTCGCCAAATCTCCGTCTTGCATGATGGAAAATCGTGCTGACACACCTGCATCCTCGACGAGGCTGCAGATGTCGGAAATTAAGCCCTTTAACAAAAAGCTGCAGGGGACCGGGATAAGACGGGTTGTTGCTCTAGCGAAGATACCACCCAGACCCTAGATCCAATCCCCGTGTTGATTTTGTGAAAGGATTTAACTTACCTGCGCCACGCAGTCGCATTATTCCGAATTCATAGCTACCAACCGGATACGATATCCACAAGGTATACGGCCCTCGGTCGGAACTAACCAAAGCAGAAGGTTGGAAGCTCAAAGAACGTGGCCACGACACATAGTGATGCTTATCCAATTCGCTGGTTATCTCAATTGTGTAAAGCTGGGAACAATAGCAGTCGACATTGAGATTAGAAAAGCTCTTAGTGGCGGACAAATTTAGAATACAGGCGGCTTCCGTGGCGCAGTGGAGGATCCTGGGCCACTTGCAGGGACATTATCAAGGTTTAATTGCGCTGCCTAGAATTGCAGCAGACATCTCGTTTGCCATATTGAAGTAATCGAGACTGTCCTTGAGATAAGCACAGGGTCAATTGTGACTAACGTCACTATTTGACAGCCGTGGTGTGAGACAAAATAGGTTTAACCTCCGTCACTGGACAAGTTTCGGTACACGGCGTGATCGCTTCCTGCAAGTGAAGAAGGGCTACAAAACATAACATTCTGACAGCGAACATCATGCTACTTTCCCCAAACTTTACTGCCATTTTTCTCTCATGATCAACTTTCACCGAACCGTTCTATCTTATTGTGTCCGGCTCAGTCATGAGCAGCAAAACGGGAGTCAAGAAACGCGAAACAGCGGAAACGATGATAGTCAGGCACCCGGGCTTGCGTCGACGATACCTGCTGAAAAAGGCTACTATCACCTAGCAACCCATGAAACTACGAGTGTAATCAGACCTTTTCGGTCCTCACACTTCGGGGATAAATGTGGTCCTGCTTTGAATTCCTCGGCCTTTGAAAGGACGGCTCAAATTCAAGTGTGCGCTGATGACGCAATGATCTGCGCTCTCGTGGATCCACTCGATGCTTTGGTTCAATAGACTTTGCCCTCGAAACTTCTTACAACTGATGTTTCTGACGCGTTTTATGCCACCAGACTGCTCTGGTTTTGGATGGCTTCTGGCAATTGATCGTCGGAGTCAGGCAACAGTTGCGTGCACACTGCGGGGGACTACTTTTCTAGCTGCTTCGCCGAGGGATTAGTGCGGGTGCGGGTGAATAACCTTCTTCCATCCGCGTCTTCCCCACAGGCAACAACCAACATGCTTTTGCAGCCACCCGCGGCTGTTTCGCCTCATGCCTCATTCAATTTTCTGGCACCGAACGTCACTAGAGGGCCTTCAATTCGCTTTGAAAAGGTCTCATGATATGTCTGGCTACTATAAATAACTGTCGGGTTGACCCAAGATCATACTGGTGTCAGTCAGAACAGAACAACATGCATTTGTACTCAAAAGTAACCATGTCTGTCTTCTCACAGGGTTCTGCTAAATGTGCAGGTGAGCGTTTCCTACAGTTGCATGATAGCTTTCATATTTTCTGTGGCGATTCAGCGTGATGATGCCCGACAAGCCGTAATTGCGAATAAAGACGAAGGAAATTGTGCGACAAAACTTTTTGCCACACTGTTAACCCTCAATTAGTACATGCCTGTGCAAAACGGTACTTGAGACACGATTAATTTCGGTTATCTTGTTCAGGGATATGATGCGAATGACTTTGATCGTTTAGACAACAAACAGCCGGATGAGAAATTCACCTCAAAAGATACATGTGCTCGTGCATTTCTATCAGCATAATACTTCCACTTTTCGCATTCATATGCCTGAAATACTCAATGACGTATTACGCTACTGCGGAGATATATCTATGGGGTTGACGGTGTCCGCCTTCAAACCAGCAATAATGTAAAAAGATCTGACTCGTATACGTCGATACTACCGTCTACAGCCTCCAGAAACGTAAAGTTCGGTCAACATCGGGAACGATAAGAAGCTTGAAATCGCTAGAGCAGACCGTTTCTCCGCGAGGACACATGCTGATATTATTCTCCGGCTCCTGAGTATATTACTGTTTGAGGATTATATCCAAGCTATATACCTTAACTGTTCCCTCGAGTATCTGAAAATTTAATTTTTTACTGATAAACTGTACACCCGTAATAGTCGCAAATTCTTGTATCATAATATTATTAAATTTCAAAGACCACCACTATTCTTCTATCCCTGTGTATAGATTCTACAGGCAGAGTACACTAATCTTAAGCCTGCCAGCTAAAACACTGCTATCTGGATTCCAGAACATGAAATAATATCATATAAATATCTTAATACATGAGACCTGCTGTACTGTTATAATATTATAAATATAAATAACATTCTCGCCGCCTTAGCTAACAGCTATAATTTTAGAGTCTGGCAAGAAGGCACTATACTAAAGCTGGCCACCAAGGGACCTGATAATATGAATTAATCTACCGGATAGAATATCCCAGATCCATGCTGTACCATCCTATGATATAGAAGCAGCAAGGAAGCTATCCGGACTGATACTAATCCAGATAATACAATCAGTGTGACTGTGTAACTGATATTGAATTGACCTGCTATCCACATCCCAGAGAGTGAGTCAGGGGGAATAACAGCATTGGCCAGTGTAATAATCGCGTGTCATATTTTGGACAACATAAACCATGCTATTACTGTCAGAGCTAAAAGCTTGGCTTCCAAATGAACCCAAATCGCCTGGAAAACAATGCATGGGGCCGGTTTCCCCATGGTCTGCAGCAAAGCTTTGTTGTTCCTGTTCGTCTTTCGAGGAAGATTTTCGCTTCCTCCTGTCCCCATTGTTTTGGATGGCCGTCCTCCCAAGTCGCCGGTACACCAGACATGGAAGCGAAATCCGAGCGGATGCAATATGTCCAATGTCTGAGAAATTTGTGCTGGTCCATTTCGTACTCATTCTCTTCGCAGGAGACCGCGTCGTCTCCCTGCTCTACAGAGCTAATTGATTTTTCATCTGAAGCCATCCTTTGACGAATATGCGATTTAAAAAAAATTGCGACAGACGGATAGAACAAAACGAAGTTAAGGTTGTTGAGTGTTTCAATATATCATCATAGTGATGAGTCAGTGATGGTTTCGCTGCAGCCTAATACATCGACGCTATTTCATATGAATTCTTCTCTACGGGCGAAAAGGCTCAGTCTAATTGTTTTGCGCGCCAATCAAAGTCCAGATAATGCAAGGTAACATGCAGCACAACAGCTTGAACGCCTGCGACTACCAATCAACACCGAGCAGTCCAAGAGGCTCTCATGATAGACCAACACTACTTCGTCCTCAAAAGAGTCTCTCATCACAACACGGCGCTATTAAGACGGGTTGTGTTGTTGACCAAAACTGACACGTCGTCAGTGACTCATCTCGCCGAGATAAAAGTTATCCACTGAATTCAAAGAATAGTCGGTCGCAACAAGACCACCATAACCATGGCTTTGCGACCAATGGTAAAAGAATTAGAATGGGCATTTAACTATCAGGGAGGCGTGTCTCTTTATCGTACATACACCAATAAGCGATCTTAGAGTAAGCAATAAACACTGATTGGCCCAGAAGTACCTACTAACAGCCCAGTAGAAATATATAATCAGAAATTCGAGGATAATGAAGGACGATTACATTGCGGTTCAAAGTTTCACGCTTTTTGCTGGCACATTTCTCTA